TGACTTCTTCTCTCACATGTGGACCCCACTTTTCTTCTAACGGTCAAAAAATCAATTCTCAAAATCCCTACCAAACGGACCCTTAATTTATATAATTTATTTTGTGGTTCGAAAATATCAAATCATACCTAACCTAGAACCAATGGTTTCCATGAAGAACAAAAGAATCAGATAGAAATGAATCAATCGATATGATTAGGCCTTGATCGATCTGGTTCCATTTTTTACGGAATCAATAATTCTTTTGTTATTCAAACTTTTTAATTCTATAAATAATTTTAAATATCCACACAACACCTGAACCCAAGTGACCCGTGAATTTTTCACTCCATTGTCTTTTCTTTCCATTTTGGCAATATGGATTAAAATTATTTATTATAAAAAAAAAAAAACAGATATTAGTGACCTATAATTCTTTGCTATCTCATTATAATAAGTTCAAAAACACATGGAACGATGGCTATATTGACAGCATAATTTTAATTTTTTGTATCACATTTTCAACTGAATGTACATAAGATTTTCAACTGCATGTACGTAAGATTTTCAACTGTTACTCATTGTAATATTTATGTTCGTAAATTTTTATTGAATCTTAGTGGAGAATATATGGATATAACTTGTATGTTCATGAATTGTGCGTTTGAAAACTAAGTTCGACCAATTTATAAATGATTTATAAATTTGCCAAATGGATGCTTAATTAGTACATCTCGTATTTGATAATTTTTTATGTTTAAATATTATGTTTGCATGTTTTGGAATGAGGGAGAAATATTTTGTTGTACTTCTGCATTTATTATTTTTTTAAATATAGTTGACTAATTGTTACTCTTTAAACACATTATTCAAAAAAATTATTTTTCAGAAATTTCTTTCAAACAAAAATTAATAAACTGTGATGTGAATATAGTTGCTCTCGTATTCAAAGGCAGAGCCACACAGAGACCAATACAGGCACTAGCCTGTACTGGAATTTAAGCTTGACATAGGAACTCGAGTCTGCACTAGACCAAGGTTTAAGAGTAATGGTTTTATATTGTTGACGATGGAACTTGTAACTACTATGAAAGAAGAAGAGAGTAAGAAAATAGAAGAAGCAAAGGCAGTGACTGCTGCTCGAATTCAAGCCAAGCTTGAAGCAGAGAGAGGTCAGGGCAAGGGAATGGACAAATACAAAGAGGTTATTTAGAGAATTTTTTAATGTCTGTACTTTGAAGACATAAGTTTTGATGAAGTTATTTATTCATTATAATTCAATAATGCATAAATATATTAACACCACAATTTTTGTTAGCTAGACCACATTTGAATTACAATGCACACCCCTAAAATTTTCTTTTTATACACTTTTGTTCTCAGCTCTCCTTTTTTTTTTTTTTTAAATTATTATCAACCTTATATTAATTTTCACCTCTTATCTATAGAGACGATTTTAGCCCAAAATGTTTGTTATGAGGTCAAAAAGATATATTTACTTCTCGTATTTTTAAATAATTGAAATAAACAATTAATATAAAACTTAAACAAAATATTTGTCCATCCTTTCAATGCAGGTTAGTAGAATATTTGGATAAAAATTGTGATTGGAGATAAAATATACTAATTAATTAAAAGTTAAGAATGACAATGTAACGATAAAAAGTTGAGGATATAAATGCAAATGTGAGTAAATATTGAAAATCTTTCTTGTAATTAAAATGTGGTGCAAATATATAAAAAATAAAAAAAATTATTGTGTGAATATAATTACCCTTCTATCATTTAGAATACTGTTCAAAGAGAGACAATCTTAATGAGCCAATTCAAAACCTGATTTGTACTCAAATATTAACAGCGATGTCCATATATTACAATTCAGTAAGCTCTTCCACAGTTGGTTGGGAGTGAGTGGTGTGAGGAAAATGATTATATGTACATGTATATAAAAAAAATATTACTGTATCGAAAGAAAAACAATGCGCTGTCTAGATCAAAATGCCCTTTTTAATTTTAAATGCAAATGTGAGCAAACTTTGAAAACCTTTCTTGTAATTAAAATGCGGGCAGATATAAAAAAATTATTGTGTGAATATAATTGCCCTTCTATAATTTAGAATACTGTTCAAAGAAAGCCAATCTTATTGAGAAAAAAAAATTATTGTGTGAATATAATTGCCCGTTTAAAGAGAAACAATCTTAATGAGTCAGTTTAAAACCTGAGTTGTACTCAAATATTAACGGTGATGTCCATATATTACAATTCAATAAGCTCTTCCACAATTGGTTGGGAGTGGGTGGTGTGAGGAAGATGATTACGAGGAAGATGATTATATGTACATGTGTATGTGTATCAAAAATATATTATTGTATTGAAAGATAACAATGCGCTAGCTGAATCAAAATGCCCTTTTTAATTTTAAATGATCTAGTGGAGGTGTATTCTACTCAAATCTTCACACAATATTAAACACAAAATATATTTTCCCACTTCATCCCAATCTCGAACCTTAAAACTTTTTGAAGAATTCATCTCCATTTTTATATGAATATTGAATCAAAGTCGTAGTACTTTTGTAATTTAAAAATCTCATTGAAGTTGTTCAAAATCTCATGTATCCTTGTGCACTAGGATTTCTTGAGATCATGTGAAACTCTTTTCCTTCATACCAATTTTGGCCCAAAAAAAATTATAATCGATACCTAAAATTGTGTCCGCACTGGACAAAATCTCTTACTTCGTCCTTACTCATATTAATTCAAATTTTTTTTCTAGCCTCCCGGGCATAGCTCAGTGGTGCAAAGGACAGGAGTGAGGTTATCTCACGCCTTGCTGACGACCGCAGCGTGAATGTTCAATTCCTGGAATATGGAATTTGACTCATTGTAGGCGCGTATACAAGCAACTCTTGTTTCTTGATCTGTTGGGGTACATCCCGCGATTTATCTTCCTCACAAAGCTCTAGAGGTGGAACGGTGAGGTCCTCAAAATTGGGATTCAACTTCTTTTTTTTTAATTCAATTTTTTTCTACTCAAACGGGAATGTTTATTCTCTGAATAATCTTATTTATTATAATAAAAATTAGATTCTATTTGTAACGTTCAAATCCAAGGAGTGCCCAAAATTCAAATTTGGAGGTGGCAATATCAACTCCCTGTAATAGAATATATCCCTATATCTACAACTATATCCTCTTTATACATGCGCTCTCTGTCTTGGTGGCGCATCTGTTAATCGATTTCTCAATCGTTTTCCATAAGAGGAAGAAATCGGTTTCTGAACCTTCTCAATCGTTTTCCATAAGAGGAAGAAATCGGTTACTGAACTTTTTTTTTTCTTTTTCCTGTTTTTTGGCATTTGCTGGGTCTGATAATACTCGCATATCAAAGAAAGCGACTATTGAGAAAAAGGAAAGAGAAAGAAAAGAAAAAAGGGGCCCCTTCTCCTAGATCATATCCCATTCGATTTTCTGTCCATTTGTTCGCTTGTTCTCTCTGTCGATCAGAAGGTGAATTTTTTCATCTGGGTTTATTGTTATTATTTTTCTGTTGTTGAAAATACATTTTCCAGTGTTTTCTATTTAAATTTTCTGTATACATTTTTCGAGATTTTTAGAATTTCATCGCTCGCTCTTTCTGTCGCTCCAAATGTAATTTTTTTTTAATCATTTTTTTTTGGGGAAGAAAAGTACATGTTTGCAGTGCTTTTAATTTAAAATTTCTGGATGCATTTCTATAGGATTCTTGAAATTTTATGCGAAGTGTGCTTTATGATATTCTCTTTGTTACTTGATTGTGTTTTTCTAACAAGAGTTTTCTTGAATTGATTTCTGTTTGTTGTATTGAAATGGAGGTTTCTTTTCTTGAGTTTGAGTGTTGCATTCTTTGGGTTATACTCATTTCTGATTTGAAAAGTACCTCTTTTCCTATTTATTATGTTCTAGTAAAGTTCTTTAATTTGATGCTCTGATTTATGAGTTTGAATTTTTTATTTTTTATTTTTGTCATGATCTTCCCTTGAAAGATCAGATTTCTCTTTATGCCAAGATTTAAATGTGTATATTTCATGGTTAGGGCCTGAGAGTTCTTGTGAGGTGACGTGTCTTATGCTTCATGTGCTTGTTTATCATAATTGTGTCGTTCTTTGGAACTGTCCTCACATTACCATGTAACCATAAGCCTGTGCAGTTTTTATAGAAACTTCTATTGATGTATGGGACTTATTAGATTTTTCGATGGTGGAATTGGTAAGTCAATCGGAGAAGGTGGAATTTCAATTTAGGAGTTTAGATTCAATGTTAATGGGATTTGCCGATTTGGTATATGTGGATTCGATCTATGTGATGATCTATTTGGCTGATTTTGCATTTTGCCTTTGGTATGCAATAGAGATCTGTAGCTTGAATATCGGTTAATACAAACTTAAAGAACGAATAGATAAGTTAGTCATGGCTTATCACTATTTGATTATTTTCAATGTTTACATTTCCTGCTTATCTACATGATTTGGTGGCGATCTAATCTTTAGTGCTAATTCTATTATCTTGCAGGGATTTTCTATTGTGATTGTTATCACGTCTGCGGAACTACTAGAACAGTAATTTTGTAAAGCAGGCTGAAAGTACTGATTTCTTCTTGTCAGCATAGTTACAGGCTTTCCAGAAACTTCAACTTGCCCTGCTATGGTAATTTTTAGGATTTTTAATTTTTATCTGTTACTCTGGATGTTTTATGCACCATCATCCTGCTACAAAAGTGTGTTTGGTGAATGGGTTGTTTGCAGCAAGAACCCAACTTAATGACCAGAATATTACATGTATGAAGTAAGAAATGTAGTTGGGAGACATATTGAAGTTTGAATTGATACGGTGAGAATGAATTTGAACACAATTTTTGCTTTTTGTGAAAACGATACCGTTTCCCTTTGTCCCATGCAAAAATTCCTAATATGGTGGAATATGGATTAGTAATTTAGAGAAACTGAAGTAGGTATTTTTGTGCTTGATTTTGGTAGATTTCATTATGAATTTGGAATGGTTTCAGATCTTTACATATTTCCTCTTGTTGATGTAGGCAACAAATGAAAATCTTCCTCCAAATGTGATAAAACTGTTGGCAAGAGAACTGAAAAATCTCGATGAAACACCACCAGAGGGCATTAAAGTAGTACTGAATGACGATAACTTTTCAGTTATATATGCTGATATTGAAGGCCCAGGTAATATTTCTTTTCTTTTTTACTTTCCTCATTTTTGAACATTGATTTCTTAGTGTGATTAATCATCTCCAACCTTGCAGCTGGGACTCCGTACGAAAATGGTGTTTTCCGCATGAAGTTGACATTGTCTCATGATTTCCCACAATCCCCTCCTAAAGGTTCTGACCTTCTATACCTGATATAGTTTCCTAGTTTCCAATTAAATTTGAGACGGTTCTAAATGTAAACTACGGTGGTTGGTTTGTTAGAAACAAAAGTTGATCTCTGTTGGAGTTTATTTTTCTTATTGGCTTACTTCTCTCTCTCTCTCTCGTCATCTGTGAAGGAGATATAAAATTAGTAACATCATTTTATCTGCTTCGTTTTTGTTTTAGGCTATTTTCTGACCAAGATTTTTCATCCAAATATTGCTACCAATGGCGAGATCTGTGTTAATGCCTTGAAAAAAGATTGGAATCCAAGTCTTGGCTTACGACATGTTTTAATTGTAAGTTCTGTCAATGTTTATGAGCTCTCCAAAGTTGAAATTTTCTTCTTTGTAAATTCACATTCCAGACACACATGGCTAAATTTCTTTCCTTAAAATCTTTTTCATCGGCAGGTGATAAGGTGCTTATTAATTGAACCATTTCCAGAATCAGCTTTAAATGAACAGGCTGGCAAGATGCTGCTCGAAAATTATGAGGAGTATGCGAGACATGCAAGGTGAATCATTCCACAGTATAGTTGCACTCGTGGTTTACTGGTGTTTTACTCATGAGCTACTTTATAATAGTATAGTTGCACTCGTGGTTTACTGGTGTTTTACTCGTGAGCTACTTTATAATAGCATTATCTTTTCCTTGGACTGTCCAGTTCTGTGCTTCTGTTTGGTTCTATTTCAAGTATGTAATATGGCTTTGGATTATCAATTCTTTTATTAACTGCAGTTACCTCCTAGAGAAATCTTTTATCATCACTACTCGTTGCAGATGCCAGTAACTACGCATCAACTGGAGACAGCGATGTACCCTTTCTCGTTATATCACAAAAGGGTCACACCTGTTTACAAGAAGCACATATACATAGCCAAGATTTGAAATAGTTGTCCAAAAAATACGGATGGATTTATTATAATTTTAATAAACTCGGCAAAATGTTTTTGCTTTTTGTCAAGTTAGTTGAACTCCTTGTAAGCAGGATTCTAAGATGAACCAGAATTAATTAGTTGTCTGCGATTATTTTTCCCCTTTAGGAGGTGTTTCCTTTAATGCTTTTAGTGATGTATGGAACTGTAATGGATAGCTATATTTGCTGAGTTTAATGGTGTTTATCGGGTTTCTAAAATTGCAGACTTTACACCGGTATTCATGCTCTCAAGCCAAAGCCAAAGTTCAAAACTGGCGCTATTTCTGAGTCTACCACTGCCCTAAACGTTGAACAGAAGAATGATTCGACCAAGAGCGTCGACCAGAAGAATGCAGTGTCAGGTGCCATAGCCCAACAGCCATCTCCACTGGCTCCAAAACTCGAAAATGGTCAAGATTTACCGGCTGCCTTAACTTCATCGACTGAGACTGTAGTTCCAGGGGCACAGAAGAAAGAAGTTGGGATGGCAAAAGTTACGACAGACAAAAAGAAGACGGATGCAAGAAAGAAAAGCTTGAAGAGATTATAAAACTTTCAAGGATCTTTTGGACAAATCCATTTTATGTCACTATGTTATTGTCGTTTTGACATGTTCAACTCTTGACCTTTGAGTTCAATTTTTCTTCTTCAAATGGCTCTCACATCAGATATTTTCTATTTTCTGGAGTTTTACGGCGGCCTCAACTACAAGGAGCATTTTCACGACAATCATGCTCTAGGTACAGAAAATTTTGACGGATAATATATGATGTTAAATCATTGAAAGACAAAAAACATCAAAAAAAAAAAAAAAAACCAAGTGAATTAGATTTCACCATGTTTGCATCTGTATGAATTTGATAAGGAATTCCTTGTAATTGAGGCTTTTTCCTTTTCACTATAAGCGGTTAAACCTCGGTCGATACTTTTATGATCGATCATTGAAACAGGATTTTGATAGAGCGTTGTCTGCTATGCTATAGGCTATAGCAAATGTCCCTGATGATAGGCCAATAAATAAGGCTTTCCTAGAAACATCGCAGCCTACTTTAGTACTTCATGATAGCTTGAACCTGCAGTCGACATAGAAGGACTTGTATTCACACAAATCCAACTTTTTCTCTGTGCTTCCGTACCACATCGGATACAAGTGCCCAATTATCCCAATCCGACAGAAATTGCCGGAAATTGCATCACGAATATTAATCAGATAGAACTCAGGCAAGAGATCTCAAACGCGGATGGAATACAAATTTAAATTGCTGCATATTCGAGTAGCAAACATAACACCACAAAAACGATAAAGAAATTCCACAAACATAACAGCAGAGTGTGAAATTCGATAAACACCATAATAAATATGCTGAAAAAGGAAACTAGAAATCCCTTAACTATTAAACCCTGTTCATCAATTTTTTTTTTGGAATTTTTATTTTTATTTTAATATTTATAAGTCGTTCAAGATTTGGTGAGGTGAGGACATCACTTAGCCATCATAATCTTCACAAACTCTTCATAATTGATTTGTCCATCACCATCAACATCAGCCTCCCGAATCATCTCGTCTACTTCCTCATCGGTCAACTTTTCGCCGAGGTTTGTCATCACGTGGCGCAGCTCTGCAGCAGAGATGAAACCGTTCTGATCCTTGTCAAAAACACGGAATGCCTCTTTCAGTTCCTCCTCAGAATCAGTGTCCTTCATTTTCCGGGCCATTAGGTTCAAAAACTCCGGGAAGTCAATGGTTCCATTACCATCAGCATCCACCTCATTAATCATGTCTTGAAGCTCGGCCTCAGTAGGATTCTGTCCCAGCGATCTCATCACAGTTCCAAGCTCCTTGGTAGTGATGCAACCTGCATGTAAATGACAACATTACAATAGAATAGATTATCCATGCACACAACTGAGATGCTTCATGTCTTTCAATATCATAATCGAAAGCATGTTGATCCACGATCGAAGGGATAAGTGAGCATTATGAATACATTTCATGGAACCCAACAAGTATATTACACATTCAAATGCTATATAATTTCAATATTGTAGCCAATGAATAGTCAAAAGAAAAAGCACGTGCATAATACCTGTGGATGGATGTCAAGCAACTAATATAATATAACTGAACTTCTCCAAAATATGTGTAAAAACGATTTAATTCGGGAGAATAACTACTCCATATTACCAACAATCTAATTCAGTTAGCATTTTTTCCAGTTTTTGATAGTCGACAAAAGATTCTTGTCATGTGATCTTCATTGCATACGTGTAAAATAAAAATAAATAAATAAGGTTTTAAACCACATATTTTCCTTCACTTTCCCTCCCTTACAAGTTACATCAAATCACATTAGTGTCCCAATTTTCCAACCATGATATGATGTACATCGAATATATTGATTTATATACTGTGTATGACATAAAAAAAAATCTTTTCATGCGCTTCAAAAGTTTGGCTTATACTCATCAAATAATCAGTATATGGCCCTATCTCCTTTCTCCTTCCATTACATCGATAAAGAACATTATTTTCTCAATTTTCCAATTACTCACAAAAACAAAAAAAGCCTCAACCTGGGAAAGGAAAACAAAGACTATTATTTTCAAATGAACTTTAGAAGCTCTCCAATCTCATCCAGCCAACAGTTTTCAAAACAAATTTTCAAAAATCAGGTAAATAAATCCTCACTCCATCCTTTCTACTTTCTAATTATCGATTTTACGGTCGCTCAAAAAATATTTCATCCTCCCGAATCCCAAATTAAATGCCATGGCTTCACTGTCAATAAAATAAAAACTGAAACTTTTTGGGGGGCCATACATTTATTTGATTCTTCGTATAAAAATCAAAATTTATAAGCTCTTCAATACTTTTTTGCATCTGAATGAACTACAAGAAACAAGATTAAGAAATTCCTCGTTGACTGCAAAAGTCATAACAAATACAGAAGCAGCTATATTTAGGATCAAACCACATTATTGAGTCTTAGGTTCCATATTAAACAATCGAACTTGTTAAAATAATAGCCTTATCCGCTAATTATTTTCATATTTAAGTAACCTTAAATATCACCTTTACCATGCCACCATCTTATACAGTGGCTCAACACCAATCTTGAAATTTAAATCTAATTTTAAATCGAACCGGATTAGATTGCTAGGATGAGCTTATTACCTTAAACACTAAGAACTTAAATGTTTGG